ATGGCACCCCTGCTTGAAGGACTCTCCCAGTTCCTCAAGCATCTGAGCTATAAAGCGCCTCCTTAAGTAGATAGAATATAGGGATAATGGAAAAGAAAAGGGGAACTACCATTTAGGGTTTAGGGTTTGGTGGGGCATGAGGGATTAGAGTCCCCCTTGAGTAGATAGAATATGGCTTTGGGTATATTAAAATAAGATCCCCATATACCCCATATTCTATCTACTCAAGGGGGACTACAGTCTGAGCTCCCTAAAAGGGGTTGTATAGGGTTTAGGGCCTAAACTCCTTGGGGGGGGTTATACAGGGGACTATATACGGGAGGAGTACAGGGCTTATTAAGGGGGATACTAGGAGTGTAGACTTTCGCTGATGTTATGCCCTTTTAGGCCATGCTGGGAGGGATGTCTCCATGATCCTATGATTCCGCAACATCCCTAGCACAAGAAAAGCCTCCACCCGCAAACCTTTAACGGTTTAGGGTTTAAGCTTTAAGGCTTTCCTCCCAAAACCTGGACCTAACCTTTTCCTGAAAGGCTTAGAAATTTTTATGCGGGCAGCACATGGTTATACATGAAGTTTGAGTGAGTTCCTTCACAGCAACCCAGAACACTTCCCCATGAAGTAGTTTTCAGAAATCTGGGGACCCCAACATAGACCACCAAATACTTATAGTCCTCATTATTGGGACCACCAGAAGGTACGCCAAATTTGGGAAACCCTAAACCCGACATATCTTATATACCCTACCCTATATACTCCATGTACTTCATATACCCCATATACCCCATATACCCCATATACCCCATATACCCTATATACCCTATATACCCCATTAAGTCGTTGAATCAGGAAGCCGCTACGAGCTGTGGTGGCATTGCTGGCCTCTGACGAGCGACCTAATCCTGAAGGCCCAGATGAGGGGAGGGTATGAGCTATAGCCATTTGAGCTATAGTCTCCTTCAAGGGGATTATAAGAGATAATCTACTCTCCTTCAAGGGGACTATAAGAGGGATAATGGAAAAAATGGAACCAACTATAATGGGGTTACATAGGGATTTATAGGGGTATATATGAGCTATAGTCTAAACTCCATAAAGGGGGGTTCTATATGGGATGAGATAGGGGAGTATTATAAGGGTTACAAAGGGGGCTACTAGGAGTCTAGACTATAGCTCATATAGTAATTAAATTGGGTGTAGATTGTGAATTGGTAGGGTCTATATAGGGCTTAGTGCTGGGGTTTAGGGTTTACAGTCCCCCAAACCAACATGCAACCCCAATAGAAACCCTAGGAAGATCACAGTATTACTCTGCTTGCGAAAATGTGTGGGTTTTCACGGGGTTCCATGTCGGATTGGGCGATGGTAGCCGTCGGTTGCTGTTAAGGGACTTAACTCAAGTTACTATAATGGAGGGGAGCCATATTAATTACTATATGCATATATATATATAGCCAATATGGTAACTTGTTTTGGTTCCTTAAACCTAAACCCCTAAACCCTAATCCGTTAGTGTTTGCCCATATTATGGTAATTTAACTTAAGTTCCTCAACTTTAATCCAGTAGAGGTTACGAGCTTCCTGCTTTTAGGAAGCGGTCCCGAAGGCCTGAACTTTGACATAAGCGGGGTTACATGAAGACAGTATAGGGGACTACTACAGGGCTTATTAAGCGGGATACTAGGAGTTTAGGCTATAAAGCCTTAGCCGCTTGCGTTGGGAGAGGGTACAGAGCTTTGCACTTGTTTGCAAACACTTGCTTTCAGTCCAAAAAACATCAGAATTAGTCCCGCTCAGCAGCAGAGTGTATTGCAATGAAGATGATACAGGATTGTGCTTGTTCAACCGTGTGAGTGCGGATTTTGTGCCTTCTGCTGCTGAATAAAGATTACAATCCTCAACCCGCAGCCCTCCTAATCCTCCCTCCCTGGCCATGCCAGGGAAGTGCCTGTAAGGGGACCCCAATATAGACCTCAAAATATTATAGTGCTTATTACAGGGACTCCCAAAAGGTACCCCCGATTCTATGTCATCTCTGTATAAATGGCAGGTTCAAACGGTAGTTCCCACGCAGAGACCTCATACACGCCTTCCAGACCCCTGATCTAAGTCACCACTATCCCAATTCGACTCCACTATCCCCCTCATATACACCCCTCTTCTCCAACTTCCATCCCGAAACGGGTCTTCATGCGTTGACCCAGGAGCTCCCTGATGAAGCAGCCCTTGCTACATTCCCACGTCACTGGTTCTCAGTAGGGAATGAAGGAATGGACCCCAGTAGTAGCCCGCCCTATTCCATCAGCAATACTATCGTAGCCCCTACCTTCCGTTTTCTTCTCCCTTCCTTCCCCGCGAAGAACCAGGAAGCCGCTTCCCTGAGGTCATGTCACTCCAGAGCGGGCAAAGGAGTTTTACCAGAAACAGCAGGCCTGGTACGAGGCGAGCACGGGTGAATCAGTTGGGGCATCCTTCGACTGACTTCGCAACTGGGAACAACTGGTTTCTGATTACTATGGGGGCCTGCAAAGGCACATTCTCTGGCAGACAAGGGAACCTGATCAAATGGAGGAGTAGGAAAATTGCTGATCATTCAGGCTTCAGAATGGGCATGTCCAAAAATCAGGGTCCACTTCCATACCCTTTCATACTATACGCCTGACTATTGGGCTCCCCAAAGGGGCCTCACTCAAAGGACACCCGAAATGCTGCATGACTCGGCAATCAGGGGGGTTGCGGGCTCTGTATGTGGATGTACTCAAACTGGTAGTCTGAACCCCATGAGTCAACCCAGAACCCCTCAACCCCTCGTTTGAGCTCCCCAAGCTTAGCGGTCACTTTTTGTACCGAAGAGGTATGGAGATCATCCTTCAAAGACGCCCAAACAACAAATCAACCAGAAAGTTGAGAAAATCCCAGTCGTTACAATTGCGGTCCAGAGGAGCAAAGCAAAGAAAGTCCTGATCTGGTGGCAGGAGGTTTAGATTTGAGCAGCTTTGCAGACGGTCGTACTAAAAGTGGTAGGGCTTTATAACTTTACTTTCAGTTCAGGATGCGCAGTTGTTTTGGCATGAGTATGGGCAAGGGGGGGAGGCCACATGCACTCCGATGTTGACGTTTTTCTATCCCCAAATTACTAGGGTCTCCTCTATACGACCTCCAGCAAGGGACATATGTGTCGCATTTTATTTGGGGATACTATGGTACCCAATATAGAGCAAGCTTCTATCCTCCTTTTGGGGTATAGTCTTTTATATAAGGAAGATAATCTTACTAGGTTCAGCCACCAAAAAGCATTACTCATGTAATCCCAACTCCTCCTACAGCCCAATAAAACGTACTGGTAATGCACAAGCCCTGAAGTTAACGCGAAAAACACTACTCATATGGATGTTTGGCGAGCATTGATGCATCCAGGCAAAGCAGGAGGAACAAGATGAGCTCCGCAAGGTGAGGGGCTGAGTGGATAGGGGCTATAGGAGGGTTCAGGGTTTTAGGGTTTGGGGTCTAGGGTTTTAGGGTTTAGGGCATTCTATTGGGGTTATATAGGGAT